ATCATTGTTTATTGAGTTTTTTGGCTTGAAAATAAAAACTTTTCTTGTTCAGTTTCTAAATTCTGTTTTTTAAATGTTTATATCTCAGTACCAGTAAGCTTGCAAAAATAGAAACAAAAGTAGTTTCTTTGTGTGCCGATGTTAAGTCAGGCAGTAGAGCATCTCTACTTTCAGAATATGATATAAAGGTGACTCATCCCCCTGAGAATGGATTTTCATTGAAATGCACCATTCTTAAAAAAAAATGTAGCTAGAAATCTGTTTCTTCCTATTTTAGAGTCAGATTTCATATTTCAGAGGAGCTCCTTGATCCCTTAGATTTAATGTTGTTCTTTTAAACAATGAAAAAGAAGTACAGTTTAAATTCATAGCTCTCTTTCACTTTAATCTCATTTTTAAATTTTCTATTGAAGATAATGACAGAACAGTAGACCTAACAGTCCCACAATTATTGGATGTGTTCTCATAATTAATGTTAAAATAACCAATGCTGGAATGATTTAGCCATTTTGTTAAAGTATTCGGTGAGACAAAGTAAGAAAAACTTAGAATGATTGTAAATAACTCTTGTAATTTGTTACTGATAGATTTAAAATTCCAAACAATATCTATGGTATTATGCTGCCACATCCATTTTACTTTGTAGCAAATATAGGAAATAGAACTTTAGTTTTAAAAATTAAAAAACATTCTCAACAGCTACATAATTTATAACTCTAAAATAAACGCATGCATTTCTAGATTCTGCATTTGCAGATGCCAGGTATTTTTTGGAACATAGAGCTCCCTTTGAAGCTACTTATCCCCACTGAAAGGTAAAGTGAGGGCTAGACATTCAGTTATTAAGCCGGAATGTAATTTGACTGTACACGTTCATAGTTCATAAGCAAAGGGAAAACTGATTGCTCCTTTTCATTTCAAAATGTTGAGCAGTTTCAGTTGAGAGCATAAGGAAACAAATCCATCAATGAGTAGCTGTCTTACACTGTTGTAGCTATCACAACACTCCGTACTGCCCCTAGGAGTCACTTAAACCTTTACATGGGTTATGGGTACGTGGGTGACAGGTATGGTTTGGTAACATACATCTTGAGGAGGTGTCATCCTACACCTCTGCATCATATCTGGTATTGTAAGGTAATGCATGTTCAATTTTTTAAAAAGGGAGAAAGAGAGAGATTATATGGACATGTTCTAGGATGCAAATTTAGTACAGGAAGCCTATTAATGAGGCCTGTTATGGCCTGTTATCTAGGATTAGTGTTTACTTTTTTCTAAGTACTGTTATTTATTTAGCAATTCTCTGGTGTATTTTTTTTATCAGTGAAAAAAATAGAAGTTTTATTCTTTCTTTCATAGGACTGCAATCCAGTGCTTCAATCTCATTTGCATTCTTTAGATCACATCAACTTTAAGCAAACTTCTTCAGAAGTTCCCAGAGATGCTCCCTTTCTATGACTGGCTTTAAAGGAATGGCCTACTTGAAATTTTGTAAATGACACTTAAGGAGACATAACCAGCTTTCTCTTTATTCAATACAATTCTGAATTTGTCTTCCAACTTATAAAACAAATTAATATTCAAAGAGGATGAGAATATCAACATGAAAACATCACTAGAACATTAAGCTTTTATTTATTACAAGAATCAGGAAATTTTGAGTTTTTTATATAATCTTTGCTTCTGGTAAAGTGTATAATCTCCGTCACAATGCCTGTTTTTAAAAGTCTGTGAACCCTTGACTGTTGGGAATATAATCAATATAAACAACAATATATTTTTTTATATTACAAAAGTTTATTTTTACATCACTTTGTACATTTTTTTTTTCCATCTCGATTGTAATCCCCGCGGGTTTCCCATCACCAAGTCACCCAAGTGCCATCACCATAATACCGTGCATTTCT